AACACTTTTACAGAATATTTCAACACATTTTAAACGATATATACATCAATTCTTCATATAGATAATAAAATTTTTTGATATCTTTAGATGCAACTGGTATTCGTTTATTAACTGCACGTCAAACAATAATGGAATGGTATTCACCAACATTACAAACTTATGGTCAAATTAATCTTGGTCCCGACATGCGTTATATAGTTGCATTTGATGTTGATAATCGAACAAATACATATTTCTGGGCTGATTTCATAACAAATATAATCTATACTCGTACGGAAAGAGCAAATAATTATACTAAAGTAAATAAATTTACTTAAAAAAAGAAAAAAAAAAACATTTCATTTATGTAATATTCTAATTAATTTAGCTTATTACAAGTGGTAATAGTTTGATAATTGATATAGCATTTGATTGGATTGGACGTAATTTATATTGGACAGATTACATGCTTGAACATGTTGAAGTTGCAACAATGGATGGCCGTCATCGTCGAGTATTATATCATGAAAATTTAACAAATCCATGGTCAATTGTTGTTGATCCACGTGCCGGTTTACGATATTTATTTATAACTGATTGGGGTAAAAATCCACGTATTGAACGTGCTAGTATGGATGGTCAACAACGTGTTAGTATAGTTAATGATTCAATTGAAATGCCAATTGGTTTAACACTTGATTTAATACGTCAAGAAATTTATTTTACAGATCATCATTTAAATTTTATTGAAGTTGTTAATTATAATGGTGAAAATCGACGAAAAATTTTAGCTAATACACATTTTTTACATGGACCAATATCAGTAAGTGTTTATGAACAATATCTTTATTGGTATGATTCATATTCAAATCAAGTAAGACGTTTAAATCGTTTTGAACATGGTATAAAAGCACAAAAACATGAAAGAATAATATCAAGATCAGGAATATTTTCAATGAAAATGTCACATCAAATTTATCAACCATATGGTAAATTATACAAAAAAGAAAAAAAAAACCCAAATTTTGTTTTTTCTTTTTTTAATTAAGAAACAAATCCATGTCAACAATCTCGTTGTACACAATTATGTCTTCTTTCACATGTTGCACCATTAGGTTATACATGTTCATGTTCAACTGGTTTTTATCTTGAACAAGATCAAATTACATGTTCAAAAGGTTTTTTCTTTTTTTTTTGTTATTAAATTTTCTTTTTCTTTTCATTATAATATTTTATTTATTTTTTTTAAGATCGTTCACCATTTATTATTTATATGAGACATGATACAATTGGTGGTATTAGTATAAGACATAATCAATCATATATTGATGAAAATTCAAATTATGATGATTTATGGGAACGTTTTGTTACTGTAACCGATCTTCATAATGGTTATGAATTTGCATTTGATGAAGTTAATGAAACAATTTATTGGACACAAGTTAACGGTTATTTACCAGATGGAACTGCTAAAGTAAAAATTGTTTTTAGTTTTCAGATAAATGAACATTATGATGCTATAAAGAAAAAAAAAACTTCATAGTAAACGATGTTAGCACAATCTCTGTGAGATTAAAATGTGAAACATG